TTTTCTTCTTAATTGATAAATTGAAAAATCGAATCTTGATTGTTATATTTTGTTTCAATAATCAGTGATTTCTAATTGGAGAATTGAGTAAATTAACTTGTAATATTGCAGTGGTTTTTAGTTATTAATCAACATTTATACAATAACGCATTTATACAATAACGCACTAATTTAAGCTAAGAACATTAGAAATTAAAAATTAGCAAAAACAAACAGATAAATAAGTGGAGAAAAAACTCAACAGTGATTTTAGTTAAAATAAATGGCAAACTGTATAATATTTTTGATAAAAAATGAGTCTTTGAATCGTTTTCGGTATGAAATAAATTATTTTTTGAAAATATCTTCTAATAAAGTATAATAAAGTATTTTTTTTAATTCTGACAAGAGAAGTTTCAATTATTCTCAAAAATAAGAAAAAATTTGAACTGGATTTTTTAAATTGAAAAAAAGAAATCAAATTTAAAACTGGTGTACATACAAAATGCGAAACGACATGAATATTATTGCAAATGAATTTACCATTTCATTTCTGAACTAAGTTTGAAAAATTTGAAGTTTTCATATTATAAATATTAAATTAAAACTGAAATCAATGTAAGGATAACGAATAAATTCTTATAAAAATCGCGTTCAAAGAGACAATTGAACGATCTTAAAATCATATCTCAGAAATTAGATACTTGCACAAAAATATTACATAACATTCTTAAAGATTCAGAGTTCTAATAATACTGCTAACTTATACGAACGCAGTTAAACGATAAAGCTCGAAATATATGTAAAATAATGCAATATGCAAATCATAAATTCAAATACATTGAATTAAAGTGCAGAGAAGACTAAAAGAAATATTTCCTATAAAAATATGTGCGTAATCACTTTTGAATATCTATTGAGTATTTTTCAATAGTGGATCGAACGTATCTTTGAATAAAATAAGAAAAGATCTTAATCCTATTGTGAAATCTTTATCTTATATAATCGAAAAGCTTTCAAAAGGCGTGAATATCTTAGAATAATTTGTTATATGTATTTATTATATGGGAAAATTATGAATGACTTCAAACAAGGAAAATATGCAATCAAAATGCTTTTGACTTAGAAGTTATTTTTTTCCTTTATGCTGCAAAATGTACAAATAATGTAAAGTTTTAGATTTGAAATAATGTAAATTTTAAAGCTATAGAGTATTCCTGACAGCTATAGGATTAAAATTTTTAATTAGAAGAGTATTGTTTCTGACAAAAAAAGAATTCTGCTATTATTTTTCCGTGCTGCAACATTCACAGATTCAGTAACATTGCAATGTATAACTCTTATAACATTGCAATGTATTCACATCATTCTGGATCTATGGAGTATCATAGCTTTGTAAGGTAATTATTTTTCTTAGCTTTATTTTTCACTTATTTTAAATAAAATTTTTGTTTTCAAATCATGTAAAAAAAAATTCGATTTATTGCTTTACTATTATCATAAGTTGTTTGTTTATTTCATTAAAGTTGCCTGTTTCTCTAACATCGATTTTTAATTTGGAACTTTAGTAAGATGCATTTTTTGAAGGAGTAAGATATCATTTCCTTGTTGTGCTTTTTTTCTTGTATTTAGATATTATTTAAGCTGTAGCAGTTTCTTTTCCTCCGGATTTTTATTGCATATCAATTAAAATACAGTGGTGGCATAGATATTTTGAACCATCACAGTGATATTTACTCACAACATTGATATTTTCAAAGAACACAAATGTTATTTATAGTCCTCTGTCTGAACATAGTATTATATAGGTTCCCTGTTATGTGTTATAAAATTAATTTGAATAAAGCATAATTGTTCTTTATAAAGTGATATCATTTAGTAATAATTGGTATTAGTTGTTAGATTGAGTTATTGTTAACTATAATGCAGAAATGTGAATATCATTTAAGTTATCAAATAGGTTTTTCCTGACTATGCTTTAAATCAGTTGTATAAATGTTTCAAAAGATTAATTAAAAGCAATTTATTCACAATAAAGTTTTGGTGCATGCTTATAGAATAGATAGATGTCGAGTGATTGCTTCTAACATTTTGTTTTAATATTATGAAGAAAAAAAGTATATATAAGCGTAGTATTTCAGACTGTAGACTGTAAAATTGCTTTATTAGAATTCATTAAAGTAACAGTTTTTAAAAAAATTGAAAGCAATATGCTTTTATTTGTAGAACTTCTTTATTGATACCCCTTTGAAAAAAATCTCCTCAAATTCTTTTAAGCAGTTGAGGCTTCTTAACTCTTTATAGGAAAAATATTTTTTATTTTTATATTTCTTGAAAATTTAAAAATATAATTGCGTAAGAAAAATTAAAGAAATTAATTTTCTTCGTGCAGTTTATTATTATTATTTTAGAAAATAATAAGTTCCATTATTTCCTACAAAATCAAAATATCTAGGGAAAATTGAATTAGATTTCGTAATAAAACCTACTGGATTAATCTAAACAGGAATGTAAACAATATCAGTTTAAACAAGAGATATTTTAACGTAAACAAAACTTAAAATATATATAACAATGCAATATACTTTAAAATAATCATTGGGCTCATTTCTTTTCCCTTCAAAACTCGCATAACATTAGTTAAACAAAATTACGTCTTTAAGTCAACATTTAATATCTCAACTGTTAAGCTCTTAAAATGGATTGATCAGGTTTTGAAAGCCATTACTTGTTTTTAATTATAGTTTCCATCACCTAATATGTATTTCATTTCAAATTTATTTCAATAAATGTAATAATACTTAAAATTAGAAATATTTATAAATAACTCCATATATTTGTAATTCAAGTCAAATGAAAAACTTAAAAGGCACAACATTGGAAAATAATTAGCATCATCTTTTATTTTCAGTAAATACCTGTCGTTGGAATATAGGAAGAAAGCTATAATTTTCCAAAGGGAATAATAATAAAAATTATTCATAAAAAATATGTAATTGTAAGAAATTGAAATTAAAGGTAAAATTTAATAAATCTTACATAAAATTATATTCCCACAATTCCGTTTTCTTCTTATTGGAAAAAAGAGCAAATAACTTAAAGCTAACACATAAAATAAAATCGGCAAATTGTCACTAATATTAAATTACTGTATTTTACTATAAAACGAAATTATCCATTTGTTGAAAATAAAAACATGTACGAAAAGAAATTATGTATCATAAGATAATAATAAATCCATTTCTTTAACATTTACAACGACAATCTTTTTAAGTTGAATTTAGAAATCCTTCACATTTGTTAAGTATAAATACGTAACATTTNTATTATAATTTAAAACAGCTCATAAAAGATGAGTTGATTGTAACTATTATTGAAATCATCTCATCTTTTTTGCCTAATTCTATTTAAAGAAGTCTTTAGTATCTAACTCATATCATGAATATAAACGCGTCCCAGATTTATTGTATTCAAAGTAATTTGATATGAATAGTAGCTCTCAACTATAAAAAGCATCATGATCTAATGTTGTTGACAGTTTATGTATAGCCTCTAATGTTTTTGGAGGTCAGGTTATGAAGATAAATAAGCTATTATTTAAATTTTTGTTTGCTAATGTTACTATAATTATAAATATTGTCTAAAAACAAATATTGCAAAGGAAACATTATTTTTTTTTCAAAAACGTTTGAAAGATATTAAATAAAAAGAAGATTTGATTGGGAGAAAGTTTTGTGGGACGCTGTTTCTAATTGAAAAAAATTATCAAAAAAAAAGAAATCGAATTTACTTTTTTATAATTCAAAATGAGGAATTTATTTTCTTTTGTTTAAATTTTTGCTATGATTAATTGTGTTTCTGTTTCTTAAATATTTAAACGGATTCAGGTTCATAATATTTTAACGCATTGCAAGGTTAAGAAAAATAAACATAATACTTGATCGGATACAGCGTATGGAAAAAATGCGTAAATATGATATAAAAATTTTAAGGTATTAAAAATAAAATATCTATCAGACAAATATTTTGATTGAATTGCATTTCTTCTTAAAATTAAAAGTATGATTATTCTAATAACATGTATAAATTTTAAGGAAGAACAAACAAGTGACAAAAATTAAGATTCAAATTTCGACATGACAAATTTTGAAAACCTGAATGCTATGTAGTTCACTGGGTTTTTCTAATAATATACAAAACTATTTCAGAATATTTTTAAAAAATTTTGCTTTTTAGCAAAGAAATTTGATTTGATTTTCAAACAAAATAAAATGCAAAATGGAAAATTCGATAATCGTATCATCATTTTGATTCATTTCGATTTTATCATTTTGAGCGAGATAATAAGGAAGGAAGGGGAAATAATATATGTATGCACCTTAATGCAAAATAAAGCTTAGATAAACAAATTATATTAACAAATTTTAATAATAAGTTACTTTAAATTTTAAATTTTTGTTAATTAGATAATCAGCTTTAGATTTGATTTTGTTTAAACGTGGATATAGATTCTTAAATTTACCTAGTATTAATTTTTCAAAGTATCTGCTTCAATATGCGGCTTTTACTCTTTCAATTTCAACGGACTTAGTGAGCCTCTGCTAAGTGTCATGAAATAAATCGTAAACTATATTAAATTTTGTATAGCGGAGTTTCATTCTACATACAAAAAATAAAATTGTTTTGAACCGTTGATTAAAGTACAAAGTATTTTAAAGTTCTATTTTTCTATAAAAGGATAACAATCGTGACCTCTTGTCATCGGAGACAAAGCTGAAGCAAAACTGACTCGTCAAATTTATTACGGCAATTATCTTTTCAACAAATATTTATTGGGAGCTTGTTTCCAAGGATTATAACACTTTCACGCAGACTGGCGAAGAATATTGTCATCATTTGTAAAGAATGATAAAGAACCAGACGGTCTCAGAGAAATAAAAGCAACTTTTGGAACAACGAAAGTTATCTTTTCCGAAGATGATAGGTGATGATAGAGAGAATTCTTTTATTCCGAATCTAAGAAGAAGCGACCGATTACTTCTTTAGAACACTTTTTTCCTTGGTGCCGATGTGGAACAAAGGTCAAACGAAAGGTGTCTGGGAAAAGTAGAAGAAAGTGACTCCTCAACTCATCTCTAGAGGTCCATTGTTGCTCCTTTCAGGTCATCTTTTCTACCTGACGTCACTGGATTGGAGGCGGAAGAAACAAATTTGCTTTTTTAACTCGTTTTCAGTTTTAGTAAAGCGCTAGTTTAGTCCGAGTTCTGTTACTAGAGGATGCTACTAAGGGATCTAACATGATGCTTTCTGTAAGTACACCTTAAATCTCATCATGCCTTATTAATAAGGATAAACTGTTTATGGAAACCATTAAGTGAACTTACGAATTTTCCCATATTATTCTTAAGTTTTTCATTGGATAAGGATTAGTTAGATAAAAAAAATTCATTTCCATTAAAATTTTTGAACGAATTATATAAAATTATTTCAATGTTATTAGTAAAGTTTAGTCCGATTTCTGTTACTAAAGGATGCTACCTAGGAGTTTAACACGATGCTTTCTGTAAGTACACTTTAAATCTCATTATGCCTTATTAATAAGGATAAACTGTTTATGGAAACCATTAAGTAGACTTACAAAGTTTCCCATATTATACTTCAGTTTTTCATTGGATAAGGGTTAGTTAGATAAAAAAAAATTCATTTCCATTAAAATTTTTGAACGAATTATATAAAATTATTTCAATGTTATTAGTAAAGCGCTAGTTTAGTCCGAGTTCTGTTACTAAAGGATGCTACCTAGGAGTTTAACATGATGCTTTCTGTAAGTGCACCTTAAATCTCATTGTGCCTTGTTAATAAGGATAAACCATTCATAGACACTTTTAAAGAATAATAAAGAATGTTAAGAACTTAAGAAATTTTCCATTATATACATTAGATTTTTAATGAGGTAAGGCTAAGTCATATAAAAAAAAATAATATCATTTTATATTTTAAGCAATTTTATAAAAGTTATTTAAAAATAAGTGTATTAAAATGGTGTATTAATTACCTTGATAACCGGCACTATGTCTTTGAAGTTTAACTATCAAAAACTGTATAAAAATATTTATTTTGAATTTGTTTTTTTTTAAGTGTCAATTTATATTTTCTGTTTTTGAGGCATATAGTAAAATTATTAATAGCGAAAGATTAGACTAATATTATTGCATTAATTTAAACTAATTTTGCATGAACTTAAATTTATTAGTTTGTTAATTTGTTTTATGAAAAATCTATAAGTAGGAAGGACATTAATATCAAGTTCTTAATAAATTGCAATAGGAGTTTAAACTTTTACTACTAAAAACTGTACTATTGTAAACTGTATGTACTATAAAACTATTTTGAATTTGTTTATTACAATTGAAACATCAATCCATATTTCCAGCTTTCGAAAAGACTATTGTTGGACTATTAGAGGCAAAAGATTAGAATTTTAGTGCTAAACGAACTCATATTAATTTGCTAATTTATATTATGAGACATTAATATCAGCAGAAAAATTTTGACTTTTTACAGAATTTTATTTTTAAAAATTACATTTGTGGAGAAAAGTCAAATGCACATATTATGCAATATTCTTCCATATTTCATAAAATGCTTTTGAGGTAATTTTTAGAATTTGATTATATTATAGAAAATTTTTTAATGATTCAGTGATGTATATTATTAAGTGTATTGGTTCAGGGCCGTTGGACAAGTATCAGAGATCAGGCTCGAGCCCCAATAGAACGGTGAATGATCAAAATGAATATGATCGTATGATATAAGTTTATGAATTAAAGATATGAGATAGAAGTTTATGTGCCGCGATGACTCAGTGGTTAAGCCACTGAGCTATCATTGGGAAGAACTGGGGTTCGATTCTCAATGTCATCTTGAAATCGAGCCAACTTTAGATCAATGGGTACGTACCAGCTTGTCTGGTAAGTAATGGCAGCCTGTGTGCAATGCTGACCATATTTCCTCAATCATGCCTTTGGTTACAAAATTATGGAGCTTTAACTTCTCTGATCCCTGGAGGGATCCCTAACGGGCTGTTATTGGAACGCTTTATTTTACTAAAAGTATGGGGCAAATAGTATCTATTTCACTTGATTTGTTTAAACTTTGCTTTAAAATAAGTTTGTTTGGTCTTAAATAAATAGATGGCAGCACTATAAATTCCACGTCATAGCACTTGATCAGTTTGAAACATTTGTATCATGCTCATGAAAGGATTTGAAAAATATTTTCGAACAGTTATAAATTTGAGTGTAGTCACTATTGTATTTTTTCCTACATTAGAGGTGATAAGTTTGATTTTCGCATTTTTGTAACACAAATATCATCTTAAAAACTCCTCAGTTGGCTAGATAGTGTCAAATCTTAGGCGTGAATATTTCAATATAGTATTAAATATTTTTTCGGTTGAATAACATATTAATAACTAATTTTTCTTAATTTACACATGAAATAATAACTTTCATTAAAATCATAAAATATGCTACATTTTTTTTTTTTTTGCATCATTCTTTTAAAAGAGTTATTATTAGCGAAATATTAAAATTGGGATATGTCCTCATAAAAGCAAATTCTTCACAGAATTCTTCGTCAAACATAGCGTAAATTTTCTTAAATTTTTAAGAATCTTCAAATTCATAGTATCATAGTAATTACTTATTTTGATAAAATAATCTTACGTCTTGAGATAGTGACAAAATTTATCAATTTTCGAAAAATAATTTGATAATTAAAGTTGATACACTTAAAAATAAAGTGTTCCTAATGCCGAAAAAACAATAAAGTTTTACGTTTAATCTTCTGTAAAAGTTATTAAGTTTATATATTGATTCGTAAGAATCCTGTAAAATTTTGACACATCGAAAAATTTCTTAAATTTCAAATTAAAATAATAACAAATATTAAATCTAAGAAGTCTATCAAATTTTCAACCGAAATTCAACTTCTTTAAAATTTGATTTCTCATTTACTATCCAGCCAATCAATTTCGTTCAAAATTTGTGTTTGACTTCTATTCTTTAAACTGATGTAAAATTTGTATACCTTACAATTCAAATTTTTTCGACTATTATTAAATAAAAAAATGAAAAATAACTAATAATTATTAAAAATTGTTTTTTACATGTAATTATCTTTATTTAAACAAATTCTATAGTTGTGTGCAAAAGTTTTTTGATCCGCTAAAAAAGGTCTCAAAATACTGCAAAATAAGCGAAAAATAAGATTAACATTAAAGGGTACAAATTCGGACCTCTATTTTTACAAAAATAATATGACCGTATTTCTAAAATTGCGGACACCCCTAATATTTTGAAGGTCAGAAATCTAAAGCAGTCGAAAAAAAGTGTGTTTATTCAGAGAAAGTTCGTTTTTATATCTGATTTCGTAAATTAACGTCTGCACTAACTAATTAGCATATTTGAGGTCACCCCTTAAAACCATTACAATTGAGTCTTTTTACATGAAGATCGGATCATGGAATCAAAATTTATTCAGGGTGATTCATTATTTTTCGCTCACTGTATACTATTTTACATATTAGTTTTCTGTTCTCTTTTAGTAAATCGTATTGACTAAATACATAAATCATATTTAATGCATATAGTTTCATAGAAAAGTAATAATTTTTTTCTTATTAATATCCTACTGTTTATTAATTTTAAATTTTCAATAATATTTTTAAAAATATTTACAGAAATTTTCTTTATTTTTGCTATCTGGTATATTCGCTTATCCGGAGCTTGGCATTTCATGACATATGCCAATGAACTGGGGGTGTACTTTAGCAATAAAATTTAGGTTGGACTATTTCAGCTATATTTGGAATGTTAATTAGGCATGTATATAAAGGCACTGCATTTTAAAAGTATGTATGCTAAAGTGTATATTTTCATTAAAATGTATGTGTAAAGTATAAAATTCTATAGGTTCATATAGTCTACGAGATATTGTAAAATAATTAAAATGTATTTTTGAAAAAAAATTATGATCACAAATATTTCCAATTATCATTTAATATTGAAGCTTATTAGCATATACGGTAATTTCATAAAATACAAACTGTTATAAGGATCGATTTAAGCTGCAGCTAAAATCTAAATTGACGATAACTAGCACAAAGTGCATAAAAATAATAAAAGAATTGTTTTGAGTAGGAACGTAAAATATTTTCAAATAATATTACACATGCATACTTATAATATTGTAATTAAATATACTTTACAAGTGTTAATTTAATCATATTATTTGTTTTCGGCCAAGAAATGTAATCATTTTTTAAGTTTCAACTAACTCATCGAATATACAAGCACTGCCTTCAACACAATTAATATTAAGAGATAGCAGAAAATAAACTCACTTGACAATTAGCAAAATCAGCTAATGATAAATTTGTCCTTTTTGAATACGTACTTTTTATAGCACTATTCAAATCAACACTTGTTCTTTTTTAAGTGTTCTAGCTTCATATTGGACTCAAAACCACTGAATTCCATCAGCTTTCACAAAATTCAATAGATTTTCAACACACAAATTTATACCATACTACAAAAGTTTCTGAATATTATGTAAAAAGCAGAAGCTAACAAAGTAGAATGTTTTAAAACCAACCGAAAATGGCGGCAAACGATTTCCGCCGGCAGTGATCGTTTCGATTGGTTATCTGCGCACGTGACAAAAAACAACCAATTTCGCAGCAAAAAGTACTTTCATTAATCGTTACAACACTGAAGCTGTCAAAAATACATCAAAAGTTGCTGCAAAAATTGCAGCTATTTTTTATAGTGTAGATAAACACCTATATTTCCTTTCGAAGTTAAAAAAAATTCATAAATAATTAATAAATCGAAATTAATTAACACTTCACTTTCATACGGACAACTGAACAGTTAGCGCTATAATTATTTGTTATAATTATTAGTCGTTGCCTTTCCTGGTGCTTTCACATTATCGTAATAATAAAGACGCATGGAGTTTAAGTCATCGGTAAAAAATATTACAATTCTCAGTATTATACGCTTATTCGGATATCAATATATTAAAATAAATAATTTTCTTAATAATTTTTTATTTTGGTATAAAATTTATTTTTTTAATTCCAATTACCGTTTTTATATGGCATTACACCATTTAAATTTAAGCAGACACAATTCAAAAGAGCAACTGTAATCAAAATTATACAAGTGATTTCAGAAAGTTCTCGAAATACTAGTTCGATGACGTCACCCCAAAATGCTATATGAGTTTATTTTATTTTTGTGTA